CCGCAAATACAATTCTAGCAGTGAAATTTATTATGTTTTCTTTACGTACTATCAAATTACAAATGTACACATGCCGGTATGTGACAATTTTCCCAATCAGATATAATATATTTTAAGCATTTTTTCTTACCCGAATTTTGAAATAAAGAAATTGAGATATGACATGTGCATACCTTACTTTAGCAATGAGTTATATTTGCGTTACAATAGAATAAAAGCTGCAGAAAATAGCCCAGTTGCGAATTTAAGTAGCAATGGGGGGGGGGGGGGTCACTAAGCGTTCGCCCTATTTACATTTTCAAATGAAAATAGGCCTTAACCATGGTTCCTTCTTCCTCAAGGTAATAAAAGAGTAAAAAAAACTAAAAAAAAAAAACACTGTTTCATATCGTTTTCGACGATTCTTCAGCTTTAAATATTTTATCAATTTAAACACTGGACCTAAGAATATTCATAACTTTTTAGAGTTAATGATTCTTATCATCATGGCAATAATAAAATGAGTTTATCAAAGCCTCAAGAATCAATTAACTTACTGGGACTTGAACCCCCTCCCCCAGTGAGTCTAAACAGCTGACCCCCTTACGAACCTAATATTTAAGGATACCCAATCCTCAGCCAGGAAGGATAACTCCAAAAATTAATATTTAATTTGAAATGCATTAAAATGAAGTTTGAAAATGAATTTTTTTCATGCAGCAATTTTAATTTTATTCATCTTTATTAGATTCAAGGTTTTCAGAAGTCTTAGAAAAGGTCTTCTAAAAGTTGACATTTGTGCCCTATAAAAAGAAAAAAAATAATACAGTTTTAGAGAAATAACATTTTTTTGAATCCAGCATTAGATACCAATGCTTATTAGCATGATATGAAATAAGAAGTGATTTGTGGTGTCTTGCAATGGTATCAAAAGCCCTTTATACTATGTATAATAGATTATCCCGCTTCAGACAAATTTGTAGATTGTTGATTGGATAAAGGCTGAACGCATGACGCCCTGAAATTTACCAAATAAGTATAAAAATCATGACAATTTCTCTGAATGCATGGATACCTATCATTTTTAACTTAAAATATATTTGTTGATCAATTTGCAAGTTGAAAATGCATTGCTGATATTCCAATTCGTTTTTTTTTTTACAAAAATATTGAAGATTTGACAATTTTTCCTATAAAATATGATTTACTTTAATCTTTAACTTGAAAGAAATACTGTGGATAAATTTACATAGCTTTGTGGATTCAGAGATACTTTTATGAGTATTTTTGATTACTTAATTAACTGCTTTTTTGTAAAAACTAATTATAAACTAATTAATTTTATAAACCTGAGGATCGGACTTCCTTAAGTGAAGATACTTTAGGCATTATGCTGAATATATGCGTCTTTGAACTGGTATGGGAAAAATACTAGGCCTAATATATCGATCCGGCCTGGAAATGGTTGTCTTTTATTTGTACTATGCCTGCAGTTTTCCATACTTATCCTATACTAGGCATTCTATTTACAGACATACATGGCGAGATGTGTATGTATATACATGTAAATCTATTTATCCGCAAAAATCATGATAAACAAAAAGGAGAAATATCTATCAATCATATACTATACCATATAATTAAAACATGCAGAAATTACGACATATTTACAGTTTTCTTGACTTACCGTATTCTCACTCACACTGCATCAATATCTTCAACGAATGTTATGGACTACACGTTTTACTCTTCATAATGGCCAAAAAATATAAATACCTACCCTTTTTTTATTGATCATTCGCATCACAAAAGCCATACATCATGAAAGGAAGTAAATCTCAAGAGGGCATCTAAAATGTCAAACTCGGAAGCATCTTTTCTGTGACTACGAAGAGCCGTTCACGTCAAAATAACGCCCTTATGACAGCGCTTTAGACAATCATGTTACGAAAAAACTTACCATGTTAAGAGGCCATGTCAGTAAGCATTGAGCTTTACCCTATATAATCATGGAAAGTGGAAAAATTTATTTCTTGCTCAAATTTTGTGAACATAATGCATATGATTAGTCCTTCAAAAAAATATATCTACCCGGTCATATGACCTCTTGTTTCCATGGCAACCAGAGCATTTTGTCATACTTTATCAGAGAAATTTGTGGGCTGGCCTATCCTGTTGTAATTCATATATTTGACATCAAAACTCTATGTATAATTTAATAATGTGGGTAATAAAGTGCTTTGAACTATATTTTTCTATTTTATAAGAAAAATTTAATTTGTGCTTCATTTTATTAAGATTTTACCGGTAGAATTATATCCCATAAAGAGCTATGTGGTTTACAAATGCTGTGCGCCTTTAGAAATTTCTATATATATCTGTAGAAGGAGAATGTTCTGTTCAATATAAAATATAAATAAAATTGGGTAGACACTTAAGACTTAAAGTAAAATATCACATTGAATTGTTGGAAAACTATGTTGAAAAACGATTGGATTGCCTCCCTTGCATGAGCTCTCTAGTAAAGGAGACTGGAAAGAATGGAACAGACAACAATAGAGGAAATGTGGAAGAAAAGGGAAAACTTCCAACTTGGAGTAGTTGAACAAAAACATATAATGGTATGTGAAATATGTATTTTTGATGTACATCTTTGAGTAAACTTTTGATAACTTTATCTCTTTAAAGCAAGAGTAATGATTAGGACGGTACTTTCAGATTTATTTCTCTAACGTTATGCTATGATGTGATACAATGATGCAACGAATTTACTGCCTTACAGGTAATTAAGAGCAACCTGTTATATGACCACTAATGTTTATTTTCTGCAGTTGTTAGATTACTCCTAATACAATTAAAGATAGATATTAAAATGCTAATAATGATATTTAAAATAATTTATGCCTATGCTATTTATGCATTAAAGAGGTCATGAGGTCACACTGCTGGTAAGACTCAAGTCCCTATATACACACATAAATCATTCTCACCTTTTTCCCCATTTTATAAATCAGAGATTCAAAACCTAAACTATGTCCATATCCTTGTTTTACTTAGTCTTTCATAACATCAATGGAACAAACTGACAAATATCATACTTAATATCTAGACTAGTGAGTTTTTTTTCTACTAAGGCCATTGCAAGGTTTTTCTCTGTTTAGCGTCCACCTATCTTTCAAACACCTACCTACCTATTCACAAAAAACACACAAGCCAAAACATAAAACGCAGGCTTAAAAAGTCATAAAAATCAAACCCTTCAAATGATTTGATCTAACTAACCTGCTTTAATAGAAGAAATATCTATTCTTAAGCAAAAACAAGGGATTAAATGCTTAAAATACACCCAATATAAGTTATGTACAGAATTATTTGGAGAAATTGACAAAATTCTAAAATTTCGACTAAATTAATCAATTTCAGGACTCCTGATTTTGTTTGTTTTTTCTGACATGGGGTGTCAAAAACCAAGGCGCACGCGGACGCTAAACGTAGAAATAACTTGGTATGGCCTAATTTGCCAAATGAGTAGGGAATGGTACATATACCAATTCAATGTGGAAAAATAGCATCAAAGTTATTTACCTTTAAGGTTTAGATGATATATATATAATATATATATTACTTAATGACACAAAGAAAAGTTACTCTACCAAAAAAAAAAAAAAACTTGGAATCTGTAAATTCTAAATGATTTATAGGAAGCAAGATTGATTATGTTTAGTTCGTTTATAAAATCAACTTGTCTGCTCATGAGTGCTTATGTACATAAAAGTGCGAATAAAATTAATGAATTAAAAAAAAACTGGGATTACAGTGTACAATTCCAAACTTTATAAGAATTTTAAGATAAAGTATAGTCAATAAATTATCTACCACCCCACCCCCTATCTTCAGGAAAACAGACCTCATTAATTCATATTATTTGCTTAAAAGAGTCAAAATATTAATTATATTATGATGAAGGAATTCAGTAATGTTTGTCTTTCAGTGCACCCCACTCCAACTTGAAAATCCAGAACTCCTATATATTTTGAAGCTTAAATTGTTCATCTGCATTGTTCCTCTGTCTAACTGATTCATGCTAATTATTTACATTGACTAGTATAGTGGGAATTGCATACATATATAATGGTTATGCAGCCTTCACAGAAGAAAAGATGTACATATACATTATGTTAATCCTACTATATGTATCACTTTTTCAGTAGTAATACATATTAAGCTTTGTTGTTGTTTTTTTTTTTTACAGCAAAAAGTAATTGAAGATAACATCCTATTCCTCTAAAGAAGCCACTGGAGGAAATGTGTCTTGTTTCGAACAATACTTTAAGTTTTAAATATGATTGTTTTACCATGTTCCAAATCAATTGCCATATAGCTGTCTAAAAACCAGTCTATCCCAGAAGTGAATTTGAAGGAATGGAATGGAGGACTATCTGTGTCATGTATTTTTTAAATATGATATGGAGAGTTAATTCATGTATGTGCCCAAAACACATGTGAAACTTAAACTTGCCTGGACTCTTTGTATTATTTTTTTAGCGTAATGTCTGTATAAACTAAATTTTAAATGAATAAATATTCCAAGAATGTCATTTTTGTTTTTAATATTAAAAGAAATCTTGTATTTTTGAGCTATTAGGAAATGGGACTTTCAAGAATAAGTAGCCACTAATTTTTTTTTTTTTTTTTTGATTTTTAGGATTTTTCAAGTTAAAATGGGGGATTTGGGAGAACATTCTGATTTTATTTATTACCAGGTATTTTCTTTAGCATGTTGAAGAGTAGTTGTCAAGAGTTAAAGGATTATTCATACACTTAAAAGAAACCTCCTCCCTAAAAAAAGAAATGAAGGTTGTCAAAGGGTAAAAAGTATATTTTTTTAAATTTCCTTTATAAAACACATGTAAAAGAAAAACTAGAAATATGTTCATAGGACATTAGTGCCCCGTCGAGGTTATATTAGTAATGCAATATGAAAATTTGTATTAGTGTGGGAGATTTGATCAGAATATCTTGAATAGTGATGCAGTTGAATTGCTCACATTAGTATGTATCAGCATAATGAAGTTTGTCAATAATTTCAGAAAAAAGAGGTTAAAGGAAAAGCCAAGGTCAAGAAGTTTTGATGCAGTTGAAAAGCTCTCATCAGTATGTATCAGCATATGAAGTTAAAAAAAATATTATGAATGGTTTCTGTAAACCAAATTTTAACACAATTTGATGAAAGTGAGGTCAAGGTCAAATGAAAGGACAAGGTCAAAAATGGTGATGGAGTTGAATTGCTTACATCTGTATGTATCAATATAGGAAGTTTGATAAAAATATCTTGGATGGTGTCTTTGAAATTGAGCTAAATTCAAAGTGTGACAGAAGGAAGGACAGAAGACGGACATGTCAAACGCTATATGCACCAGCTTTATTCATGACAGGGCATAAATTAAAAACAAAGAAGGGGGGGGGGGGGGTGTTGTAGCCTGAGCTCTAAGCATGTTTTTACAAAATGTGGTCAAATTAATTTTTGTTAAATAATTTTTAGTCTAGTCTGACATGAATGACATAAGGAAAGCGGGGGGGGGGGGGGGGGGGGGGGTAATATAGATTTTTCATTGCATTTTCTTGAAGGTGCTATCAGTTCATGTAGTAGTGTATTAAAGGAGAAACTTTTAAAGGGGGGTTAATAATAACTGTTCTTAATGGGCTTTTCTGTTGTTTTTTTTTTTTAAACTTTGCCGTTGTTTTGAATTCCTCATCTTAAACACTATACTGCATACTGCAGGGCAGAAAAATCTTGGGAAACATCAAGGGTATTTTAATCATTATTGATGTTGAAGCATCAATATTTAGTGTTGACAAAAAAGGTTGATCATGATGAATTACTTTGCACATGTTTCAAATACTTAGTACATGTATTTCAACAACAGGCCATAACACTTAAGATTATTAACTTGGACCTCAATTAAGTGACTGACCTTGCTGCTTTGGTCAAGGCCAACAGTATAACATGAATTGCTCTTCCTGAATTGTCAAACAATTCACAAACACTGTATATCAATGTATAAAATATTCAAAGCAGGGTTCAAAATATAAGAACCATGTAGATTTAGGTAAGAAATTATTAGACATAGAATATATAATAAAGAATAGTTTGACCTTGAGATTTTTTCCTTGAATTGTGTAACAGTATGCATTCACCTGAGAACCTACTATTAAATGAAGCAAGGATTAACAACTTCAATGACCATGCAACTTGAAAATTATGAAGCAAAAGATGAAGAGCAAATTATGATTCATGCCTCAAATGGCCACTTAGAATGAATATCCTTATTTTACTTAATATATAGCTTTAATTTGTACAGCTATACATGCAACCTTTATTAGTCATTTTCAAATTGATCGAAATGCTGCTTGTTTAGAAATATGACATCATATTAACATTTCCCCGCCATTTTAGCATTTTTTGTATAAAACTGCTTATTTTCAAGCTGTTTTTCTTCCAGAAAATATAGAACGCAGACTAGAACAGAGTTTATATTTTTACCAAAGATGTATCATCCAATACTAATTAGTGACAGAAAATTTATGTGTTCTACACTGCACTCTGTTTCTCATAAGACAAAACACCAAAAAGACCTATTTTCGCCTTTTTTGGTTAGATAGCAAAATTAGCATTACTTCTCATATCATTTACAGCTAGCGAGTGCGTATAAATATAAAAAATATTTGAAAATATTTCTAATATATCCTCTTCTTCAAATTAAATATCAATCGAACATATCTCAATATCATTCTAAAATGTTGATTTTTAGGGGGCCAAAATTGGCTCTTATCGTTGTCACGACAGCCGTCGTGCTCTGTCCAGTCAGATATAACAAGATTTTTTTTTCTATTTACAATTTTTTTTTATCTATAAATAAAATCAATAAAAACAATATTTACAACATATTTTTACAGCTATTATTTACAATACACAGAAATTAAAGTCTCTATTAATCCTCAATATCGTTGACTCTAAACCACGTTTATCCAGACACGACCCGTTTCACGACGGACTCCCGCCAACTGGCTCCCAGTGGGTATCCCGGTCTGGTAAGTTCATTGCCAACACACACATGGATAGATTAACATTGGATAACATCAGGAACCTTTGAATTAAATAACATTTTTTTAAGTCACAAGCCACGTATACAAAAGGAAAACTCAAGTCACCATTGACTACAATTGCACTTATGGCACACCATACAATCAGTCCCGGTAATTTTAACCGAACACTATTATAATAAGAAAAACGTTAAGAATACACAACATCTTAACAAAAGTGGTTTTAACTATTAAACCCACAACACCGACTTTATAAGCGGCAAAACAAAATAGCCTACGTGCGTATATAACTCAGTACATTGCACAAAAATAGAACAATAAACGCATGAGTAACTCTACCCAGCAAAACCTGTATACGTAAATAGTAACAAAAACATTAATTAACTCAAGTTCTTAAATAGTTCTACGTTTTAAATGTATTACTCAAAAACTTACATATGAAATAAAAAACAAACTTACCCCTTTGGAGAAATGGTTACCGTTGAAAGAAAAAATTTAGCCACTCATCTTGGACTGTATGTCAACCATTTAAAAGCTATGAAAACGTGGACCCTGGTTACCTGGTCAGCTATGCAGCGATTTAAATACCCCAAAATACAATAGGTCGTAACTGACCAATACCTGCAAAACTTAACTGAGGTTCAATACGGTAACAAAAGTATAGAGGTCCAGTAAAGGGTAAATAAAATAAAAACCATAAACATAATGTAAATGCAATTAAAATTAAATATTGATTGTGACAATATCTCCCAACATAAGAAAGTTCAACGAACTTTTGAAAAAACACAATCAATAAAAGCATAAAATCGACTATACCTAATTATATACATATCTAAATTCTGCTAAGACAATCAGCTCCTACATTTTCAGAACCCTTGATGGAAATAATGCGAAACCTGTATGGTTGCAGAAGTAATGCCCAGCGCATCAGACGTGCATTAGACACCTTGGCTTTGGTAAGATATACTAGTGGTTGATGATCTGTCTCTAGTAGGAATTCCTTACCATACAAATACCTGCGGAACTTTTGAACTGCCCAGATTATCGCATAGCACTCTTTCTCGATTGTAGAGTAATTTACCTGACATTTGGAAAGTTTCTTGCTAGCGTATGCGACAGGTTTCTTCACACCATCTTCGTACTGCATCAAAACTGCCCCAACACCACGATCTGACGCATCAGTCTGTAAAACAAAGCTTTCATTTAAATCAGGTAGTTTGAGAACTGGTGTTACCGTTAAAGCGTTCTTGAGAGTGATGAACGCATTTTCCTGCGGTCCTTTCCAAATCACTTTGTTCGGCTGGCCTTTCTTGGTAAGATCTGATAAAGGCGAAGCAATAGCTGAAAAATTCGGAATGAATTTGCGATAAAATCCTACCAGACCTAAAAATGATCGCACTTGCTTCTTCGTTGAAGGTTGGGTAAAGTTTTGAATGGCGGAAACTTTGTCAGGAAGAGGTCTAAGTTCTTCATTTCCTGCAATATGTCCGAGACACTCAAGACTCCGGTAACCAATAAAACACTTACTTGGTTTCACAGTCAAATTCGCAGCACGAAGTCTTTGCAAAAGATCCCGAATTACATTAACATGTTCCTGAAATGTTCGAGTGTACACAATCACATCGTCTATAAAGTTATCTACACACTGCATTCCGTCTAAGAGCTTACGCATCAGGCGACTGAAACTTGCGGAAGCGTTTATCAAGCCAAAGGGCATCACCCTGAATTGAAACAAACCAAGTGGCGTTTGGAAAGCGGTGATCTCCTTCGCTGCATCATCCAAAGGTAACTGCCAGTATCCCTTAGATAGATCAAATTTGGACACATATTTACAGCCAGATAATTGTACATAAATATCATCAGCACTTGGAATGGTTTCTGCATCGAAAACAGTTACTTTATTAATTGCACGAAAATCGATACAAAACCTGTTCGAACCGTCCTTCTTTTTCACGATGACTATCGGGGAACTGTATGGACTCGTCGAAGGCTCGATCACTTCGGCTTCCACCATCTTTCTTACCTCGTCACAAACAACGTCTTTTGAAGTAAACGGCAGAGGATAAGGTTTGGTGCGAATAGGCTGGTCACTAGTCAACTTGATATGATGAACTCCGAGATTCGTCAAACCAGGTACATCTGATAAAACATCTGAAAAATTCTCTAGTAATGTCTTGACTTCTGCTTTTTCATTCTCAGTTAGTTCATCACTTACTTTCACATCTGCCGGTCCCTCATTTTTCGTTTCTCCTAGAGAATCACACAACAGCTCATCGTCGCTCTCTCCATCATCATCTAGATCGAGTACTGCAGCGCCTACAACACCTAGAACACCTGTCTCATCATTACTCTCGTTTTCTCTGTCAATGTACAACTTCAACATATTTGCATGAAATGTTTTGATTTTTCCATTCACGTTAATTTTGTAATCAACTTTTCCTAGTCTCTCTATAATTTCATATGGACCTTTCCATTGCATTTGTAATTTGT